ATCTATCTATCTATCTATCTATCTATCTATCTATCTATCTATCTATCATCTATGGCATATCCCCGAAAATAAGATCCACTGGAAAATAAGCCCTAGCATGATTTTTCAGGATGCTTGTAATAAGCCCTACTCCAAAAATAAGGCCCAGTTAAGATTGTCACCCTGATGGACACATTTAGTACCTTATTTCCCTGAAAATTAAGACCTAACCAGATAATAAGAACTGTGTCTTTTGGCCCAAAAAGTAATATAAAAAAGAAGAGAAGAGAAGAGAAGATTTGGAAGGGACTTGGAGGTCTTCTAGTCCAACCCCCTGCTTAGGCTGGAAACCCTACACCACTTCAGATAAATGGTTATCTAATTTCTTTTTTAAAACTTCCAACGTTGGAGCATTTACAACTTCTGGAGGCAAGTTGTTCCACTGATTAATTGTTTTGTCAGGAAATTTATCCTTAGTTCTAAGTTGCTTCTCTCCTTGAGTAGTTTCCACCCATTGCTTCTTGTTCTACTCTCAGAAGCTTTGGAAAATAGTTTGACTCTCTCCTCTTTGTGGCAGCTTCTGAGATATCGGAACACCCCTATCATGTCACCCCTAGCCCTTCTTTTCATAAGACTAGACATATCCAGTTGCAGCAACCGTTCTCTTTATGTTTTAGCCTCCAGTCCCATAATCATCTTTGTTGCTCTTCTCTGCACTCTTTCTAGAGTCTCAACATCTTTTTTACATCATGGCAACCAAAACTGAATACAGTATTCCAAGTGTGGCCTTACCAAGGCATTATAAAGTGATATTAACATTTCATATGATCTTGATTCTATCCCTCTGTTTATGCAACCTAGAACTGTGTTGGCATTTTTTGGTAGCTGCAGCACACTGCTGGCTCATATTTAAGTGATTGTCCACTAAGAATCCAAGATCCCTCTTACAGTTACTACTTTTGAGCCACGTATCACCTATGCTATACTTATGCATTTGTTTTTTCTTGCCTAAATGTAGAATGTTATTTTTTTCATCTCTGAATTTCATTTTGTTAGATAGCGCCAGTGTTCAAGTCTGTTAAGATCCTTCTATATCTTAAGCCTATCTTCTGGTGTGTTGGCTATTCCTGCTAGCTTGATGTCATCTGCAAATTTGATGACTTCCTTATCTACCCCTGTTTTGTTCTTGGAAACAAACACACCACAAAATGAGGCGAGGTGGCTGGCTTAGTTGCTCAGGCTTTATTTAAGCTTTGTGTGCTAACAATGCAGATTAAGCTCAGCTGTGAGGCAACAGCTGTTGGCCTCTTTCACAGCTCTTTTTATACCAAGCTGTCAAACCGGTAGCCAATCAGGTTGCAGCTGAGTGCCCCCTGCTGGATTCAGGCCAGAGGGAGAACTTAAAGAGACAGCAGATTAGTCTGGCGTGATCTGTTTTTGACAAACCCATGCTGGCTTTTGGTTATTATTTTGTTTGCTTCAAGGTGTTCACTGATTCATTGCTTAATTATCTTTTCCAGAATCTTTCCTGGTATTGACGTCAGGCTAATAGGTCTGTAGTTTCCTGGATCTATTTTTTTTTTCATGTTTTGAAGATGGAAACTATATCAGCCATTTTCCAGTCCTCTGGCAATTCCCCGGTGCTCCGGGATCTTTGAAAGATATAGTTCAGTGGTTCTGAGATCTCATCTGCCAGTTCCTTCAGAAGCTTGAGGTGTAATCTCTCTAGTCCTGGTGATTTGAACTTGTCTTGGGTAGACAAGTGTTCCCTTCCATTTTGTTCCCTGTTTTAACTTGTGTTCCTCATCTGTTTTTTGTTATTTTGCTATTTTTGATAGGTTGGACTGATTTTTCCCTTTGTGTAAAGACAGATGCAAAAAATGAGTTAAGTCATTCTGCTTTCTCCCAGTTGCTTGTCACCTTCTTGCCACTTTCTTCCAGCAATGGACCAATTGTTTCCTTGACTTTTTTCTTGTTTTTAACATATTGGAAGAAGCTTTTTTTTTTTTTTTTACTTTTGTCACAAGCCTTTGTTCATTGTGAGCCTTAGCTTTCCTCACTTCATCTTTGCAGACTCGGGTTATTTGCTGATATTCTGCCTTAGTTATGTGGCCCTCTTTCCACTTTTTATACTTGTCCTTTTTGACTTCAATTTGTCAGAAAGTTTTTTATGCAGCCATGCTGGTTTCTTTTGAGAACTGTTGTTTTCTTCTTCATTGGTATTCTGCTAGACTGGGCTTTTATAATCTCACTTTTCAAAATTTCCCAAGCTTCTTGAGTTGTTTTCCCCTTGAGGATTCTCATGAATGGAATCCTCCCCAAGTTCTCTCTAAGTTTATTGAAATTAGCTCTCTTTAAATCCAAGACTCTAATTTGACTTTGTTCTATTGCTTGTGCTTGCATTATGTTCCAATATTGCATGATCACTACCCCTCAAGGTTCCTGTAGCTTCAACACCTTCTATCATTTCATCTCTGTTAGTGAGAATTAAGTCCAATGTGGCTGATCCCCTTGTTCCCTTCTCTATTTTTGGGGAAACAAAGTTGTCTGCTAAATTTGTCAGGAACCTGTTTGATCTTCCACTTGGTGCAGAGTTTGTCTCCCAGTTGATGTCAGGGTAGTTAAAATCTCCCATTACTGTTGTGGTGTGCTTCCTACATACCTTAATTCATCTAGCAAAAAGTTCATCTACTTCCTCTATTTGGTTGGGTGGCCTATAGTATACACTTATGGCAATGTAATTTTTCCCCTTTTTACATTGACCCAAATGCATTCCAGGCAGTTTTCATCATTGTTGTGCTCTATTTCTGTAGAGATGTAGTTACTTCTTATATATAGTGCAACTCCACCTCCTCTTTTATTTGGTCTATTTCTTTTAAGTAATTTAAATCCCTCTAGCTGTACTTTCCATTTGTGGGTTTCATCCCACCAAGTTTCCATAATGGCAGCAATATCGTATCTGCCCTCATTTACTTGAATTTCTAATTCACCCTGTTCATTCCTCATACTCTGTGCATAGGTGTATATTCCTTATGCTCTGTGCATTGATATATTCCCCATAATCTGAGCGCTGGTGTATAAGACCTGGTCTTATTTTCGGGAAAACATAGTATCTATTTATCTATCTTCAGATCATTCATTGTTGATCTACTGCACTGATTCAGAGAGAATTCTGAAAGAGAATAAAGGTCTGATTGTGTAGTAAAAAGGTCCCCAACCCCTGAGCAAGCACCCACCACTCACAAACACAGCTCCATTCACATTAGCAGCTCTTTTTGCATGAGCGGCAGGTGCTTGAGAGTAGAGCTTCACAAGTGCCTGCCACTCATGTGAGTGGAACCATGCACATGAGCAGCAGGCACTTGTGCTCACATGTGAAGCTTCAGTCATGCAAGCTCTGGGAGCTTGCAGCTTCCACTCGCACAGAACTATCCCCCCTTCCCATCCCCAATACTGGCCAACAAGCTGGAAAGTTTGAGGGCCATAGTATATGGATGCACTCTGTTAAGCTTGATTTAGAGTTTCCCACAATTGCATGTAGGCATCAATGCAGAGCTATGCAGCAAAGGGATTGATGGGTAAGTGTAGGTTGTAGATGGCTGCAGGCAGGCTGCTGCATACACCTCCCAAATCCCAATTGCGTGGTCTGTCAAGGTGTGCATCCTGCACATTAATTGATCTAACTTCCTGTTATGTGCTTTGCAGTTTGAGTGCCCCCTAGCCAGAAAGAACATTCACAAATTTATAAATTCAAAAGCTATGCAACTATTTCTGAATGACAAGTGCATATGTTCCCTGATCTGCAGCACAGAGAAATCTAATCCAGCATTTAGGTCCCTTCCAACTCTATTCTATTCTAAATTTAGTTTTCCGTATATCCATGAACACCAACTAGCAGTCACATGACACGATGAAAACTCCTTCTATTCACAACATATGAGTGGGCTAAATTATATGTTTAACAAAAAAAAACACCTTTTAGCATCTTAGACTATACCAAACCCCTAAATTCTAGGTAATTCCTAGAAGCTTCATATTCAGACAAATCAGCCATTTTTCTGTCCTGTCTCATCACAGAGGTGGATTTGTGGCTGTGCAGATGCAGATAGATAATTCCACAAAACATCCATAACAAAGTACATTTATTGGTACATCAGGTATCTTCATAACTTACATTTGTGATGAAGCTCTTCTATAATGACCAATCCTTTGTATATCAGCATTGCAGGTAAAAAATTGTTATTTTCCTAACCCATCACGTAGCGATAGAAAGAAAGCTGTTATCAGTCCATGAGTGCAGGCAAGAATGGGGGGAAACCCCCCTCAACCCCTCAAGGGTCAATTTAGTGACCAATCAGGATTACAGATGTAACCACGTGACATGAACTACATTTCCCAGGATACCTTTAACTACATTTACCATGATGCATTCCCTTAAGGGGACAGCTCAGAATTCCTAAGTAACTAACCAATTCCCATAGACTGGCTGGGACAGCACAGCCATCAATAGACACACAGAGATAAACAAATGTACATATCATACTAGAGAAATACTAAAAAAAAAAAAAAAGCTAAGAAGAAAATAAAAAGTTCACACTACATTCTTCCCAGCATCCAACATCCAAATAAGCAAGGGTTACCACATGACAAACAAATAGAAAACAATGCCTAATTAAGTTAGTGACGCAGAGAAAACCCAACCCCCATCATAACTGGCAGGGCAAGTCATTACATATAAAAAGAGAGCAAACGCTATACTCATGATGTTGATCAACTAGATAATGAAATATTTGCAACCCTGAGCTACAGATAGAGGTTGACATACAGAAAAAAAGAAGTGGCAACAACTATAAGGCAATCAAGTGGTGAGAGAGAATCCAGTTCCTCTCAGTATATTAGAAAGAATCCAAGAATCGACAAGGAGAAAAGACGGCATGATAGAAATATCAGTAATTTTACTTTTTCCGCTGCTTTCTCTACTTATTCTGTTCTCCCTGAAACAGTGGTGGTCCCGGAGACACTTCCCACCTGGTCCTCCTTCTCTTCCAGTCTTTGGAAATGCATGGGCTGTCCAGACAAGAAATAATGAAGACATTATGAAGAAGGTATTTATTTCTCAGTATAGATTCAATAATTAATTAATTGAATCATTACTGGAGGCAATTTTACTTTATTTTCTTTCTCCTGTGATTATCTCCCAAGTTGGTTTGTTAGTAAAAGATTCTGACACTGTATTAGTATTGTAATAACTTGATGAATGAGAACAATGCTGATCAAAGCTTCTCAGCTTTTTAGATTTGGGTTGCGATCCAGAAATGCAGAATCCATTTGAATTCTAGAAAACAGTTCCTAATTTTAAAGGTAATTTGAGAATGGATTTTAAGATGTGGTAAACCAGAAGCTGGAAAGCCATCTTTTGGGGATTCCCTTAATTTATATTCATGAACTTAGCATCATGTTCAGCAGCTCCTTCCAATGCTACACATTTATTAGAGAGATATAAACATGATCTTGTTTCTATTGGCTAAACATTCCCCAGGTTAAAAAAAGTAGCTTGCTACAATCAAACTAAGGCTAAATATGTAGCAAAGCAAATTACAAACTTTATTTTATTTATTTATGTATTGGAATTTGACAAACAAAAATGTGAACAAGAATAAGAGAATAAAAATACAATGACAGGGACGATAGGCACATTAGTGCACTTATGCATGCCCCCTCTACAGACCACTTAAGTATGAAGTAAGGTCCATGGAAGTCAATTTGTGACTGAAACTGTGAAAATTTGTAGCTAAGACAACTGAATCAGGTAGGGCATTCCAAACTTTGACAACTCTACTACAGAAATTATATTTTTACAGCCAAGTTTAGAACAATTTACATTGAGTTTAAAGCGGTTGTTTGTGTGCGTATTATTGCGATTAAAACAGAAAAAGTCATTTACAGGTAAAACACTAGTACGTATAATTTTGTATGCAATAACTAAGTCTGACCACAAGTGACACAGTTCTAAGGTATCCAAACTGAGAATTTTGAGCCTTAGCAGCATAAAGAATTCTATTGTGTACAGAAGAGTGCAAGACTTTTCTCGTGAAGTATTTCTGAACACACTCGATGGTACTGGTGTCAGTATTTATTTAATTCTTTATTTAGTGTCTCCTGTAAAATAGGATAACAGTAACTCACAGATAAACAAAAGTGTGCTAAGGAAATTAAATGGAATGAAAACCTCTCTTTATCATGATTAAAACTGTAAGCTAATGAAAGCGATGGAGCACTCCTCTAAGCTGCGTCAGGAAGCTTTAGTTGGTCTGGGACTTACACATCTGATATCGTTCAAGAATTCCCTGCACTTAAAGCCTTATGAATAAATGTTATATATTTAGCTTGTGAATGTATACAGATGAAATTTGTCTCTCTGAACCAGCATTGCTTGTAGGTGAGCTCTGACCTCTGTTTATATTGGATTACTCCACAAAATTGCATTTATCGGTGCTGATAAATTAACTCTTCATGCTTCTCTTTATTCAAATATTTCCAAATGATGATCGATATGGTTTTCTAATCATTGCATTTTCATGCCTTTTCTAATTTCTTTGAGACTTTGATGTCTTTGTAGAAAGGCTGTACCTTCTTTGTACAGTATTTACACATTTACTGATAATTTACCACAAATGATACGTAAGAGCTTCAAAAAAATACTAATGCTAAATACTCAAAACTTCAGAGGTTTTCTCTTTCTGTTCCTCCTTACAGTCAAGAAAGTAATTGTTTTAATTTAACAGATTAGCCAGACATAGAATTACTTACTGTCTACTCATTGAATTCAAGACTTCAAGAAGTTCCAGAAAAACAAGCATCAGAAAAATAGCAAATCTTCCACAAAAAAAAAAATGCTGTCAATGGTAAAAATATAATTCCAGTAAGGAAGTTGTCAGTAGCTTCGTACATTAAACTAAGGTTCTCTCCACATATGGTTATAACACGAGACATCATAACTTTCCGCCTTAGCAATGTAATGGATTTTGTGAGAGGCTGTGTAAGCTAAGGTAATGAAGATAATTAATGTTTTATTTCTTCATCTTAGAGCCATAAGCAGAATTGTGTAATGTTTCTTTGACAGCTATGTCGTGGGTAGATTTCTTATTGGGCACTCCCCAGTGGTCGGTTTCCAAATTGTTTCCTACCGGTTCTAGGAGTGATTCTATATGTGTGCGCTTAAGCGCATAGAACTGCTTCATGCACGCTCTCAGTGCTCAAAGGCCGACCTCTATGTGAGCTGAGTGAGGTGAGCTGCGCTGTTTTTTAGCTTAGCTGAGGAGCAGCAATCCACTCTGCCCACGCGAATCAGCTAAGCCAAAAAACAAGGGAATATAGGAGAGGAAACAGTGGGGGCGGGGGGAGGGGGCAACCAAAGGTGGTTTTTGCCAGTTCTCTGAACTGGTCAAAATTTCTGCTACCGGTCAGAACTGGTCTGAACCTGCTGAATACCACCTCTGGTACTCCCATAATGTCCCATTTCCATGATCCTCAGTGTTGCCCTTTCCTCCTCAAGATAGGGGTGCATTGTATTTTGTCCTATGTCTCAGATGAAAAACAGAATATTATTTTTTGCCTATTTTTCCTATGTCCATATGGAAGGAAATCTGGTTTAATTCCTTGAGTACTTAGGTGGTTTAAAGTGAGGGATAGTGAGGGCAGTGTGAGCGCAGCCAATTTATGAGCAGGAACGAAAAGTGGCAGTGGCAGTGTGTGGAAATACATAGAGGGTGGATTAAATCAGCCTACATTAGGTGTTGGTACCTCATGAGTCAGCATGAAACCACTCAGAAGCTGACCCTCTTGAAGCATTTACAGAATACAGAATAAAACAGTTGGAAGGGCCATCTAGTAGGCCTCTGCTCAAGCAGGAGGCCCTATACCATTTCTGACAAGCGGCTGTTCACTCTCTTCTTGAAAATGGAAAAAAATTCTCAAATTTTTCACTTGCTTCTCACAAGCGTATAATAAGACAAATCAAGGCTCTAGTACAATACAGAACATCCTTGACTTACGACCACAATTGAGCGTTGCTAAGAAAGACAGCTATTAAGTCAGCTTTGCCCCATTTTACAACCTTTCTTGCCACAGTTGTTAAGTGAATCACCCCAGTTGCTAAGTTAGTAACACGGTTGTTAAATGAATGTGGCTTCCCCATTGACTTTGCTTGTCAGAAGGTCTCAAAAGTTGATCATGTGACCCTGGGACATTGCAACCATCATAAATATATGCTGGTTAGCAAACATCTGAATTTTCATCACATGATCAATTCTATTACATCTTCAACAACACTTTCAACTTGTTCCTGATTTTATTAAGCTCACCTTCCCAGGTGTTAAGTATATATGACCTTTCCCTAATTTTAGCTATTGATTTATATTTTTCCCATTCCCAAATCCAAAAATTGCTATGCAAATCAATTCTTAAAACAGTCTTCCATACCTGCAGATATATCAAATATGATCTTGTATATATTGGACTTTCTATCTTATTTTTCCTGAAATTTGAAAATCTAGTAAGTGTATTTATTCACTGTTCTTTGACAGATGGTATTGATATAAAATGTAAAATCTGATATATCTGCATCCAAAACTCTAAGTATTGTCTTACTTGTATTTGTTCTATAGATAAAAATGTGGAATCTGAAAAAGAATTTTGTTTAGTTCTATATTGTTCCTTTCTATTCAGTTTCTTAAATTAATTTTGTTTAGGTTAAATTAGTTCATCTTTATTGAAGAAGTAAGAATGGAATATAAAACAAATTGAAAGTAAAAGTGCTGACATCAATTTATTTTATTTTACCATGGCTTCTACACCATAACCACAGGGGTGGGATTCAAATTTTTTAACAACCGGTTCTGTGGGCATGGCTTGGTGGGCATGGCTTGGTGATCATGTGCCTGGGTGGGCATGGCTAGGTGGTCATGTGACTGGGTGGGCATGGCCAACTCGACATCACTCATGTTGAGAGATGCTGCTTCTCCTTGTCTGGCCTCTGGTGACCATGGGAATGTTGCAATGGTTGTAAGTGTGAAAAACAGTCATGTCACTTTTTTTCAGTGCCATTGTAACTTTGAATGGTTACTAAATGAATCAAGGATTACCTGTACACAAATGCAAAAAGCTTCTTTGCTTGCAAAAAGCTCCCTAAATGCCAATCATTAGATTAAAAAGACCTGCAAGCCAGAGTTACAAGTCAGGCAGGGTGCCAGAGCACCTTGAAGAATTAAAATAGTTAAAATGCAATGATAACTATCAGCATCCAACTCTTGCTCATAAAGTGAAACCCTTTAGCGGAGAGGTCATCTAAACCTGTCATTGTACATCATGTATACAACGAAATTGGTTTAGCCTCTACTGGTGCTGTCCATACAAGAATACAAGACAACATGAGTAATATAAAGAATAATCCTTATACATTTAGTTAGTGGGGGGGAAACTAGTCATACATTTCCATATGTACGTCATATTCTGTGCAACATGTATATTACTCTGGTGTATGAACTTATATCATGGTATATGCATATTATACACTACACTGGCACCAGTTAAATTCGTCATATTAATCTATTTGTGGTGCTATATTGCATTTAGGAGTCTGACAGCCCATGGATAAAAGCTCTTTTTAAACCTGTTTGTCTGGCTGGCTATACTTGTGTCTTCTGCCCAATGGTAAAAGTGAAAAGAGAAACTGGCCAGAGTGTGAATCTTCCTTATTCTGCTGAAACAGCAAAACCTGGTGAGGTCATCCAGTGGTGTTAGGGGGCAACCAATGGTTTTGTGTGCCAAATTAATCACTCTCTGTAGTGCCTTCCTGTCCACGGCTATTAAACCAGCGTACCATACTGTTATAAAGTATGTGAGGTCATTTCTGTTATGGACTGATAGAAAGAAGTCAACAGCCATTGTTCCACCTGATTTCTGAAGTCTCTGTTGAGCCTTACTAACCAACAGGGACATGTTGTTTTTCAATTAGGTCTTGACTAATGAGCAGTTCCAATAATTTAAAAGAAAAAACCCTCTCCACATGCCCCCCGTTGATATACAGTGGGGCAAGTTCCTCTGTTTGCTTCTGGAAACTGTATTAATTATTGCTTCCAGAATTATATGAATTATCTTGAGCCTTGGATATATACCCAGTGATGGTAGTCACCAAACCAACTTCCTCACCCCAAGGAGATCAAGTTTCCAGATATCCATCCAGATTGGCCTCTCACTTTATGTAACACTTCAGAATACAAAGTTTGTTCTAGTCCAGTTGCTTGCCGACTGTTAATGCTCAAAAACAGTTCACACTCCCTGATCTGATGGACTGATAAAAGCAGTAAAATTATGGCACACCCTTCCAGCCTGAAGCCAGTTACTATTTCACAAGCATGAACAACCTTCAGATAAGAAATAAAAACAGTTCATAGCTTCTGACAATAAGGCCCCAGAGCCTGAGAAAAAAAGCCAAAACCTCAAGACTTTCTGGAAAGAAAACAGCAATGAGGCCATCCAATATTCAGGAAGTGTAGCATGTTATGCTGTATAGGATGCACCAATACTTTTTATTTTTATTTTATTTTATTTGGTTTGTCAATTGCTTACAAGATAATAGGTATAAGTAAAAAACATAGTTATGAATACATGGATACATATAAGAAAAATAAAAAAATAAAAGAAACAATAGGACAGGGACAGTAGGCACGTTCGTGTGCTTATGCAGACCTCTTAGGAAAGGGGTGAGGTCAATAGTAGACAGTCTAAGGTTAAAGTTTTTGGGGTTTGGGGAAGAAACCACAGAGTCAGGTAGAGTATTCCAGACATTGACTGTTGCTGAAGTCGTATTTCCTGCAATCAAGTTTGGTGCGATTAACCTTGAGTTTGTATCTATTGTTTGCTCTTGTGTTGTTATGGTTGAAGCTGAAGTATTCATTGACAAGTAGGACATTGCAATGTATGATTTTATGTACTATACTTAGATTGGACCGAAGAATACAGAAAGAATAAATAAAATAAAATAAAATAAAATAAAATAAAATAAAATAAAATAAAATAAAATAAAATAAAATAAAATAAAATAATAAAATAAAATAAAATAAAATAAAATAAAATAAAATAATAAAATAAAATAAAATAAAATAAAATAAATAAAATAAAATAAAATAAAATAATAATAAAATAAAATAAAATAAAATAAAATAAAATAAAATAAAATAAAATAAAATAAAATAAATAAAATAAAATAAAATAAAATAAAATAAAATAAAATAAAATAAAATAAAATAAAATAAAATAAAATAAAATAAAATAAAATAATAAAATAAAATAAAATAAAATAAAATAAAATAAAATAAATAAAATAAAATAAAATAAAATAAAATACAAGAGTTCCAACTGGGAATGAATGTGAATGACTTTGTCTGTCTACAAACACCCCTGCGTGGCCCTGAGCGTCATTATCTGAGCTCTTCTGTCCCAGGAGAGTTCAGGTGATCCTGAAGCCTGGCAACATTCTACAGATGCAATAAGGATGGTGAAATAATAGTGTTTTACTACTCTTAGCTCCATGAGGTAGCCTTTAATAGCAGTTCTAAATTGTGTCTGGTTCTATTCACCCTTTTGTTTTCCTCCAGCAACACTCTATGCTCCTCTTGGCCCTTTTCAGAATCTGCAGCTCCTCTGTGAACTACAGGGGAGTGTTAGAAGTGAGATGAGTCAAGAGAGGCCACACAGGCTTGATCCTACCCAAAGCCTTGGTTCTAGGATGTAACCAGAGCTTCAGCAAGACCGTGCAGCAAGGGACATCCCTCAGTTCCCTCTTGAGCCCATTTTGGGTCCATCAGTCATCAGGGTGAACTGCTTAAATGGGCCCAGCCTCCCTGCAAAGGGAAGCGGCATACGAGAATATCAAGGACACCAGAGCCATTACAAGGCAGATCACAACAGATTCCCCCACCAGATCACGTTGTCATTGCTTGGACAAGAACATCTTATCTGGCTTGTGATCACTGTCCAAAGTCAGGAGCAAGATGATTTGGGATAGGCATATGGCCTTCATGGTGGCCATGAACGCCTGGACCACTTCTGAGGCCAAACCCAGAAATGACAGATTAAAATCCCCCAGGACCATAAGCCTGGGTGTAGTGTATTTAAATAGAGACTTCTAGGGCGATGTTCCTATTGGTTAACAGAAGCCACGATACGATTGGTTAGTAACGTTAATACCTGATTGGCCGCCGATAGCGGCGGGAAGTTTAACTAAATGTCATTGGTTGCGAGCCATGGAGCAGCCGCTATAAAAAGGGCTGCTGCGGGTCGACTGCAGTTGAAGTTACTGTTATTATTAAAGAGCTGGATTCAACTCCGGTCTGCGAGTCTCTTTACTGGCAACAGAACACTGGGGAACTCCAATGCCGATCCTGAGATGGTCTCCAGCAGCTCAGGCAAAAAGGTAGTCATGCAGCAGCAGGGAGATTGGTACAGTGGCAACAATCCTGACTGATCCGATGAGCCCAGCTTTAGAAACATGGTTAATTGTCCATCCTTTCACTAAGCCTACCAAGATATGGAAATATACCTTTGGAACTACATAGATGTTTAAAAAAAAATCTACTTCTTTTCCCCTTAATATTCCATTTTTATTTCCTAATAAAGTGGCAGAATTTTAAGGAAAAAACAAAATGATTAACGGTGGGGGAGTTGAATATGAAAATAATTATCTGAATTGAGGAATAGAAAAAAAGCTGATGGCGACAAAGTAATCTTTATTTTATTTTATTGTAAATTTTTCTTCCCATTTCTGTTTTGCTTCACAGCTGGCCAAGAAATATGGAAATATATACACATTGTGGTTGGGGAATCAATCTGTAGTGGTGCTGTCTGGATTCAAAGCTGTAAAAGAAGGTTTGGTTGGATATGGAGAAGAATTTAGCGGTCGGATTGTAAGTGCTTTCTTTTCATCTCAAGGAAAAGGAAGGGGTAAGTTGCAGAAAGTAAGGAATTACAGCATTCTGTTTATGCCAGTCCTACTAGAAAGGCTGCAGGAATTTGATATGTCTAGTCTAGTAAAAAGAAGGACTAGGGTTGATATGACAGCAGTGTCCAATATTTGAGGGGCTACCACAAAGATGAGGGGGATAATCTATTTTTTAAAGCACCAGAAGGCAAGCAAGAAACAATGAATGGAAATTAGTCAAGGAGAGAAGCAACCTAGAACTAAGGAGAAATTTCCTAACAATGAGAACAATCAACCAGCGGAATGGCTTGCCTTCAGAAGTTATGAGTGCCCCATTGCTGGGGGCTTTTAAGAAGAGACTGGACAGCCATTTGTCTCAAATGGTATAAGGTCTCTTACTTGAGCAGGGGGTTGGACTAGAAGACCTCCAACATCCCTTCTAACTCTGTTATTCTGATTCTGACAGACAAATCAGATCAGAATCAACTCCACACTAAGAGCAAAGCTATAATCTATTGAGATGGAATAAATAATAGACTCTTGTAAATCTGATTATACTATGCTTCCCTCGTTTTTACACTTCTATTTCTGAATATTATCTTAATGATCTCATTATCTTAAAGAACTTAATGAATGTTTGCCTTATTCTTGCACAGTTCTCTCAGGGTCACTTCTATTACTGTCTATAGCCATGATGGCAAACCTACGGCACGCATGCCATAGGTGGCACACAGAGCCATTTGTGCCGGCATGTGAGCCGCAGGCAAACTTACCTCACTGCGTATGTGCACGCCTCACAGCTGATTTTCGGCTAGTTTGAGGCCTTTTTCGGCCTCCCAGGGCTTGAAAAAAGCCTCTGCAGGCCGAATAGGCCCATTTCATCACTTCCTGTAATACCGGTAGTGACAAAATGGGCCTATTCGGCCTGCAGAGGCTTTTTTCAAGCCTCTGGAAGGCTGAAAAAGGCCTCAAACCAGCTGAAAATCAGCTGTAAGGCACAGTGCAGGTAAGGGGGGGGCACGGCAGGGGTGTCGGGGGGATTGCACATGCATGCACGGGGGGGAGCGCATTGCCTTCTTGGTGCTGACATGTGAGCACGTGCGGACCAGCGCACACACAATTTTTGGCACAGGAGCCCAAAAAGGTTAGCCATCACTGGTCTATAGTTTGTCAGAGTTTTACTAGGCTCCCATAAAAGAAAGTGAACTGTCTCACTGTAAGTGGAAACGTGCCTCCTCCACTCCCCAGAAAATTCTAGAATGGCAATTGTGTGAATTCCCCCAGCTTTGTCAGTAGGTACCACAATTACTAGCAGGTAATTTTTATTACAGTCACCCCAATTACTAAATGTAAAACTTTCTTTCAATTTATTGATTTTAACTTATTTGTGGTATCCTGTCAACATGTTTTGCCTGGTTGTTAAATTCGCCCATTTTCCAGCTTCACACAATATCCTGAACCAGAAACTAAAGAAATTATTATAAGCCAGATACAGTATGTACACATACACAAACAGCTGACTAAATACCAAACAAGCCAATACCATTTGTGTAAATGAAACTGCTTGGTTATTTGATGAGATGGATTATAGCTATTTAGGTGTTAACTATTTAGGTGTTGTCCAATCTGGCTCTTTTACAATGTATAAACCATGCCTAAACATCTAGAGGAAATGTGGGTGGATCTGAGAATGAAAAACAAAGATATTTTTTTTAAAAAAAAAATTTTTATTGGTTTTTAAAAACAAACAAAACATAAAACAAAAACAAAGATTAACAAGAGTTTGCAAGGTTTGTTGAAAGAAAAGAAACAGGCAAGCCAACTCTATGGCATAGTGGCAGATAAATTACTTTGTGTGGATTGTTGCCTAATCTAAACTTATGCCAGTTTAACAAGTCTGTTCCCAGTAGGCAACAAGATGAGTAACAGCAAGTATTTTGTTTGTTTCTTGCTTTGAGGGCTTAAAAACGAGAACATTTGTCTCTAGTGGTTTCTGGCCATAATTATTTCTGCAACTGTCTGAATACGGAGTACATATTATCCTCTATCTTAATTCTTATAAATGACAAATCAGATAAAACTTAAAAAATGAGTGATTATGTAATAACATGATATGTGCTGTAACGCTTATTAGGTAACTCTAGAGATTGGAATTGAAGGAATTTGTAGAGACAAAATCACAGAATCATAGGGCTGGAGATCTTCTAGTCCAGTGGCCGCCAACCTTTTTTGTGCCATGGCCCAGTACCGGCATCACAAAATCATCCACGGCCCAGTACCGGCATCAGCACGCATGGCAAGGTGAGCCGAGCAACCGGCCAGCCAGCCATCCCCCGCTTCTCCCCACCACCTTCAACTCCTCCTTTGTACCTGTGTCGATGGGCTTCGGGACGGCTTCGGGACGGTCGCTCGGCTCGCCTTGCCATGCGTGCTGAAAGAATCCTCGTGCCTTAGTTTTGTTCGAAGCCGCCCCCCCCCCCCCCCTCGATGAAACTAAGGCGCGAGGATTCTTTCAGCACCCAAACGCCACTTTCTACCCGGAAAAGCTCACCGGAAGCACTTTTTCATCAAAACAAGATGGCGGCGCCCAGAAAACCAGCAGCCCGGTAGAAATTGTTCCACGGACCGGTACCGGTCCGGGGACCGGTGGTTGGGGACCCCTGTTCTAGTCTACTCCCAGCCCTTATATCATTCCACACAAATGGTTGCTCAATCTTTTCTTGATGGTGCAACTACAATTCCAGGAAGCAAGTTATTCGATTGGTTAATCGCTCTCCCTGTCAGGAAGTTTTCCCTTAGTTCCAGGTTGGATCTTCCCTAAATCAAGGGCTTCCTATATAATCTAACATGTATTGAACATTTTAGCATTAATGTCTTTTCCATTGTCTGGGCAAAATAGAAAGTCTAATTCTTTTTTCCATTCAGTTATTATTCAGCACTAATACAATGTTATAAAGACAAAAATTGTAGGTTATATTACATCAAAACCTTTAGCAATTGCACTATGTGCTTCCGAGAATGAAAAAGTAATACATTCCAACTAGTTATCAACAGATGCAATTGCAAATGCTGACACTGAGTTACATCAGACAAATATGTGACTGGAAAAGGATAGCAAAGGTATCATTTTCATCTATTAATGGATCTAAAATATAAACATTGCTTACACCTACCTTTTCCCTATAATAAATTTTAATTCAGAGAACTGGATCATCCAAGAGTATTAACTTGATCATTTCATTTATCAAGTTAATGTTGACTCTTAGTGACCATATAGATTTCCTCTAGGGAAGTATCAACTTAGTTTGACAAAAACCAATGGATTCTCTGTGGCCTTATTTAATACCAAGATATTAGTTAATAATAGAAAGATAAATCTATGACCTCGAAGACCTGCTATTATTGCATCTTCTGAAAGAGTTGTCTGTACATGCAGATTAGGCATGGGTGATTATAGCAAAACATGGTTATCTTTTATTGAAACTTACATACGTACATCTGTGTAAGTGTCATGGTGGTGCAGTAGTTAGAATACAACATTCCAGGCTAATTCTGTTGATCACCAGCAGTTCGATCTTGACCAGCTCAAGGTTGACTCAGCCTTCCATCCTACCAAAGTCAGTAACATAAGGGTCCAGATTGTTGGGAGCAATATGCTGACTCTATAAACCACTTGGCTGGAAAGCCCTATGAAGTGATATATAAATCTAAGGCAGGGGTATCAAACTCATGTCATCACATGATGATGTATCGGGACTTTTTCCCCCTTCACTAAACCGGCATGGGCATGGCCAGCACATGATGCATCTGGCCCATGGCCTGGGAGTTTGACAGCCCTAGTCTAAGATCTATTGCTATTATATAAGCATATATGATCTGCCATAAGGATGTTTTCTTCTACAATGCTAATTTGTCCTTTTTTAAAAAAAAAATGAACAAAAATGAATGGAGTCATTAATAATTTCTCCTTGATTTATTTTGTATACAGGTATTGTGTTTGCAAATGGTCACATCTGGAAGAAGCAGCGACAGATTGGTAATACTTCTTTGCGGTTGTTTGGACCAGGGAATAAAAAGATTGAGCATCATATTAAAGAAGAAGCCCAGCAACTTATAGAAATCTTTACACGTACAAAAGGTAGGTAACATTACCAACGAGAGAGCTCAGGGGGTAACTAAGGCTTATTGGGTCTCTGTCAAATAAAGTAAGATTGACTCCATAAAGCATAGCCAGTAAGAAGAGCTGGCACAGAGGGCAATAATAACAGAAGCAACTAAACCAAAGAATTTGTTTTGTTTTGTTTTGTTTTGCACTTTTAAATGCAACCTTAGTCCCAGAGGATGAATAGTGAACAATCATAATAAGTGACCCATCAGTGTAAGAAGCCAAGCCAAATCTATAAAAATTAAACAGCAACTGTAGTACTATCTTATTATCTTCCGTACAAGCAAACAAAAAAGGCCATGAAATCAGTTCCTCCTCCTGTTTCCTTCTTTGTTTTCTGACTAGGCTGTGTAATCTGCGGACTGGACTGTCCATCTTGCACTGTGTGTTATACAGACTGAGAACCAATACCCTTAGTGAAATTCAGTTGTGTCAGTGACTGGGGGCCAGCAAACACCAACCTTGGCTCTGTCCAGGTAGAGATCATGGAAGCAGAGTTGCAACTAATGCTTGAACAATTACTAATTCCTGAAGCAACACTGATGATATCACCTAGTTTGGGTAATGAAATATCTGCAAGAAAACAACCAAGCTCAGAGAGCACCGTGAACCTTTCTTTCTTTCTTTCTTTCTTTCTTTCTTTCTTTCTTTCTTTCTTTCTTTCTTTCTTTCTTTCTTTCTTTCTTTCTTTCTTTCTTTCTTTCTTTCTTTCTTTCTTTCTTTCTTTCTTTTTTCCATATGGTGATAATCTTTATCCTATAGAGTTGTTAGTCTTGCTTAGGGCAAATCCATATCTCTTTGAAACAGTGTCCCACTAATTGTTATTTGAACTTATGCCTCCTTTTGCATTTATGTTTTCTCACTGCTGAGGTTTAAAATAGTGTTTTACCTATTATTCTGACCCAAGATACTATGTGCAAGAAAAGAAGGGTGTGTTGATGTATATTGGGGAAGAGGCCTGAAAGGGGATGCAACTTGTTCTGTTGATTTGCCAGTTCCTTTAGTCTGATCCAATAATTTTTATCCATCCCTGCCCCACACTTCACACTAGAATAACAGAATTGGAAGGGCCTTTGGAGGTCTTCTAGTCCAACCCGCTGCTTAGGCAGGAAACCCTATACTATTTCAGACAAATGGTTGTCCAACATTTTTTTTAAAACTTCCAGTGTTGGAACATTCACAACTTCTGGAGGCAAGTTGTTCCACTGATTAATTGTCAGGAAACTTCTCCGTAGTTCTAGGTTGCTTCTCTCCTTGATTGATTTCCATCCATTGCTTCTTATCCTGCCCATGTTGGTCTTAGGGAACGGTCAGCTTCCACATTCATTCTCACTGCTAAACTGTTTCTGAAATCCAGCTCCTCGGGTGTCTATGGAGATTCTCAATTATCCAGGTCATGGTTGTCCCAAAAAATGCTTTTCTTGGAGAAAGTCCCATTGCCTTTTGGAAAAGCACTTTTTATCCACTCCTTTAGTAGCACTTTTCCACTGGCTGCATCTGGTTGTACAAAGCTGGTTGACCATTAGAAGGCAACCATGGCCTCTGTAGAGAACTGCCTTGCAGCTCTTAAAGTAACCCATTCTTTGCTTGGAGTGATGTGTCAAAGGAATGAAGATCTATAGTGTTCCTCTAAAGAATATTCTAAGCCTTAGTAGAGCTATGTCCCATCTGGTCGGTTAATACTTCCTGGGAAGTAATGTATGGTTGGATCCATGCAGTGGTAATCAGTTGTTTAAAGCTATAAAATTCAATGACTCTCAACACTGTTTGTGTGTGGCATTTATGAAGCTTGGTTTCGTACCTCTGCAATAGAATGGCGAGCTCATTTTCCATCACAATTCACACAACGACTGATTACCAATATCTATTAACAGTTAATTTGATAACTTTGAGTGTCAAAATACATCCCTAAAATTGAGATTGGCTTATCTGTGGGTGGATGTATTGATGAGTATATATGATAACACTTTTAAAAAGTACACGTAAAACGTAGGTACAGTGGAACTTCTGGTCACAAATGCTTCTGACCGCAACCAAATCAGGTTCCGACCAAAAAATCCACAACATTTTTGAATCGGGTTACAATTCAAAAATCGGGTAGCGAACAAACAGGGCTGTGGCAGATTCCCTTTCCACGCCAATTTCCCCTTCTGCACCATTTTTTTTGTAGGCGCATGCACAGTGTCAACTAAAAAGATACTCCTTTGGTCTTTTTAGCTGCCAGAAAAAGGGAGTGGGAGGAAACAGTGCATTCCTTAAGTGCCTGGATAATCGCCCAGGCAGCCCAAAGTTGTCAGAGTGCAAGAAAATTATTGGAGAGCATGATTGATGACTCTTGGGGATGGATGTGTCCCATTGCAGAATACACATCCAGGAAGTGGGGGGAAGACCAGGGTCAAGGGGGAAATGAATGATATATTTTAGTATCTGCTGCACCCAGCTAACACCAACATGGCCACTTCTAATAAATCAATTTTCTTTTCTCTGAGATGCGGCTAGAGACTTATGATTTGAATGGGGGTGGATTAGTTGGAGTCCTGACACGCAGACAGTCTTGTTTCTGGTCACGACCAAATCGGGTTGCGACCAAAGTTACGAATTGCGGTCGTGACTGGAGGTTCCACTGTATTCTGTATATAATTGAGTATAAGCCTATCTGAGGAGAAGCAGACCTTTATCAAAATGCCATGTAAATTGTGCCACTATGGATAAAGGCAATTGTGAAAGAAATAGAAGAGGACAAGCTGCAGCAAGCTGAAAAAAATGATGACATCATCAATGCAATTATGCAAAAATGCAGTTATGCGTGTCAGTTGGAAGAAAGGTCCTTCATATCCTGTATACTATTTATCAGGTCTGGAATTTTAACTGAAGGAATACCTATCACAGACCTTGGAAGGTTGAAGGTAAAAGCTGAACAGCGGGGACAGAGAATTAATGGATTCAGAACATTTCTGTCCCCAGCAACCTAAAACTAATAAGGATACCAGTGCAGGCAAAATAGATGTTTGTGCAGGTAAGATTATCAACCTTGATGCCAACCAAAACCAAGCATTTAATAGTGAGTGCCATACCATGTGCACTAATCAAACAGGTGGCAAGAAAGTAGGGGCAGGCAGGCACAACACAGGTTATGTAGACAGTAAACACAGTGTCAGACATAAAGATCTGAAGTGCCTATATACAAATGCACAAAGTCTGGGGAACAAACAGGGTGAACTCGAATTACGAATACATGAAGGTAAATATGATATAGTTGGAATAACAGAAACTTGGTGGGATGAAACCCATGACTGGAACATACTGGTAGAAGGATACAAACTATTCAAAAAAAACAGACCCCATAAAAGAGGAGGTGGGGTTGCACTGTATGTAAAGGACCACTATATTGCTACAGAAATGCATGAAACCAAAGATGAAAACCTCCTAAAATGCATATGGGTCAATATAAAAGAAAAAAAGAATGACATGGCCATAGGTGTATATTATAGGCCACCCAATCAAGCAGAAAATATAGATGTCCTTTTTGCCAGCCAATTAACAAACATATGCAGGGGGGGGAAAACAATAGTAATGGGAGACTTCAATTATCCTGATATCAATTGGAAAACTAATTCTGCACCAAGTGAGAAATCAAATAAGTTCCTAACCAACCTAGCTGACAACTTTGTTGTCCAAAAGGTAGAGGGTGAAACTAGAGGGACAGCCATACTGGACTTAATTCTTACAAACAAAGAAGGAGCGATAGAGGGAGTTGAAACTGCAGGAACCTTGGGTGAGAGTGACCATGTCATACTAGAATTCAACATAACACAAACACAAGCAACAGAACATAATGACACCAGAGTCTTGGATTTTAAAAGAGCTGATTTCAATAAACTCAGAGAGAACTTGGGAAAGATTCCATGGATGAAAATCCTAAAGGGGAGAACAACTCAAGAATCTTGGGAAACTCTAAAAAGTATGATCATAGAAGCCCAGACCAGCACAATACCACTGAGAAAGAAAAACAAGAAATCCAAGAAGAAACCAGCATGGCTGCACAAAGATCTCTCTGGCAAATTGAAAGGAAAAAAAAGACAAGTACAAAAAACAGAAAGAAGGACATACAACTAAGGCAGAATATCAGCAGATAGCCAGAATCTGCAAAGATGAAGTCAGGATAGCAAAGGCTCAGAATGAACAAAGACTTGCAACAAAAGTCAAAGATAATAAAAAAAGTTTCTTCCAACATATAAATAACAAGGAAAAAAATCAAGGAAACAGTCGGTCCACTAAAGAAAGAATATGGCAAGGAAGTAACAGGAAACAGAGAGAAGGCAGAACTGCTTAACTCATTCTTTGCCTCTGTCTTCATGCAAAAAGAAACTATAGCCCAACCCACCAAAAACATAACTGTAAAAGACAGACCAGAAATAAAAGTTAAAATAAGCAAAAGAATAGTAAGAGAACACCTGTCTGATCTTGATGAAAACAAATCACCGGGGCCTGATGGATTACATCCCAGAGTTTTAAAGGAGCTGGCAGAGGTCATCTCAGAACCACTGCACCATATCTTTCAAAAATCCTGGAGCACCGGGGAACTACCAGAGGACTGGAAAAGAGCTGATGTGGTTCCCATCTTCAAAAAGGGGGGAAAAAACAGACCCAGGAAACTATAGACCAATCAGCCTAACCCGGGAAGATTCTGGAAAAGATAATAAAAAAACAGATCTGCCAACATCTAGAAACAAGTAACATAATAACTAGCAGTCAGCACGGGTTTGTTAAAAACAGATCATGCTAAACCAATCTTATTTCATTCTTCAACAAAGTGACTAAATAAGTAGATCAGCAAAATACTGTGAACATAATATATTTAGATTTCAGCTTGGCATTCGACAAAGTAGACCACAACCTACTTCTTAGTAAGCTAGAAAAAAGTGGAATAGATAGCACCACCACTAGATGGACTCGCAACTGGCTGGCAAGCTGTACTCAATGAGTAGTCCTAAATGGATCTAAGTCTACATGGAGGGAAATAAGCAGTGGGATGCCACAAGGTTCCGTCTTAGGCCCAGTACTCTTCAATATCTTCATTAACGACTTGGATGAGGGAATAGAAGGGGAACTTACCAAATTTGCAGATAATACTAAGGTGGCAGGAAAAGCTAACACCCAAGAAGATAGGCTCAAGATCCAGATGGATCTTGACAGACTAGAACACTGGGCCGTATCTAATAAAATGAAATTCAATGTAGAGAAAAGTAAAGTCCTACACTTAGGCAAGAAAAACCAAAAGTACACATATAGACTGGGTGAAACCAGGCTCAATAGCAGGAACTGTGAGAGGGATCTTGGAGTCTTTGTGGACATCCAGGTAACGCCTGCTGCATCCAGGTAACGCCTACATAGTCACTCCTAATAAATCAATGTTTTTACTCTGAGAAATGCGGCTAGAGACATGATTTGAATGGGGGTGGATTTGTTGGAGCCCTGACACCTGATTTATTCCACATTTGTAATAAGGGTGGGCACCATATTTACAATGGCACGATTTCCTGCCAGCTCCATGATGGGAAGGGTGTAGCAAACATCTAGGTGGATATGACCTTAGTAACTTTGGCGCGTGTGTGATAAGTTGCTTTGCAAGTCACCATTCATGGTCTCTATCTGAAAATTGATGCATTTTATGTGATTTTCTATAAAAATAAAGAAATTGCCTTGGGACTCCAGTTGTCCCTGAGTTCTCATCACAAGTTCTCAGTATTAACAGGGGAAGCTCAATTAATGATATATATTTTCATCTTCAGGGCAGCCATTTGATCCTTCATTGCCATTGATCTATTCAGTCTCTAATGTGATGTGTGCTTTTAACTTGGGGCACCAGTTTGCACACGAAGATCAAAACTTCCGGAAGTTGGTTGAAAACATATTATGCACTGTAAGAATGACAGGTCGTGCTTTTCATCTGGTGAGTGATTTTTTTTAATACTAGAGCAGGGGTGCCCAACCTTTTCTATACCCCGCACCCCTTCTACGCTTCTAATATATTCTTGCACCCCTTACAAAAGTAAATAATTATATGCATATAATCATGCATATACACTACAATTTCGAAACTTCTAAAACCCAAGGTTTTTGCAAAAAAACCCACCCCAGGAATATCGTCTCACACCCTCTCGGGATGTGAGCACCCCAGGTTGGGAACCTTGCCTAGAGTCACTTCTGACAAGATGGCAGCATACAAGCTTAATAAATAAATAGATGATAGACAGAAAGATAAGATAAGATAAGACAAGACAAGACAAGACAAGACAAGACAAGACAAGACAAGACAA